CTGTCTGGCCCGGCCGTGCGGGTGTGCCGGGCACCAGGCGCCGGGTGCGCGCTGTGCTGTTGAGATGACTCCTGTCTTGCAGGAGCTGAAAACTTCTGCTCTGTGTTTGGGAGAAAAGAGGGGGTGGAGCCAAGGAGAGCTCTCCTGTCAGGGCAGCTCGCACCTGGATAGCAGGGAAAGCCCACCGTGCAGGCAGGAGAGGAAGGGGGGCAAGTGGCGCCCTTCTTCCTGGAGGCAAACTGTGTCCTCACTGCGAAAAGAGGAGCGGAGCGGGCGTCCCTGGGGACGAATTTGCTGCCTCTTTCATGTGCCTGGAAAGTCTGGATTCCCTGCTCCTCTCAGCCCAGCACCCACTGAGCACCTGCTTGTGCTCTGCTCTGTGTAAAGTCCTCCAAACCCTGCCCTTGAAATGCTCTAGCTGCGGACGTATGTGAGGACCCAGAGCAGCATTTCAGGAATGACTTGGGGAACACAGAGTGCCTTGGGGCTCTGCAGTGGGAGGCTATATCTGCTGTGGGGTGTTTCATGAAGAAAACAGCATTTGAGTTCGGGCTGGGTGGATAAATAGGATTTTGACAGGTGGAGAGGAAAGGGCATTGTGGGTAGGAGGGGTGGGTGGGCAGAAGCCCAGAGGCGAGGTGGTGCTCAGAGGTCCACTGTGACCCCAGCACAAAGAAGCACAGGTGAGCCCAGGGCGGGAAGCTGGGGACAGGAATGCAGAGCGGGAGAGAGCAGGAGGCTGTATGCCAGGCTGGGGAGTATGAGGCAGCGAGCTGAAAAAGGGGAGGCTGCGGGAAGATTTTGAGCTGAGTAGTAACTGTATTAGAACTGTGCTTCTGGTCTACAGCGTCTACTGTGGTGTTCTCTTGTCTACAGGGGTATCTTCCAAGCACCCCGGTTGATACCTGAGTCCCTGGATAGTACTGAATCCTAGAAATACTAGGTTTCTGCCCATGGATATGCATGCTTACAATAAAGCTCAATTTCTAAATTAGTTACAGTGAGAGGTTCACAACATAACTAATAATAAAACAGCAATTATAAGAACATGCTGTAATAAGCATTATTTAAACCTTTGGGTTGTTTCTGGAGTTTTCCATTGAGTATTTTGGACTGGAGTTGACGACAGGTAACTGAAGGTACAGGAAATGCAACAGTGGATAAGGGGTCCGCAGCAGTGTATTGAAGTCTCCATGTGTCTGGAAGGCATCAGCCGAGGCGTATGAGGCTTGCAGATGCCTGAGATATGGTCTCTGCCCTTTAGGAGGACGTAGTACAGTGGGGGGACTGAGCAGGGCAGAAGGAACTGTGATGCACTATGGCAAGACTGGAATATGGGTGTCTCCCACAGTTACAGGACTGTAGAAGAGGGAATGATGAATTGTGCCAAGAGGGGCAGGAAGGAGGCTCGGAGGAAGGGACTCTGGGTTGGGCATTGAAGTCTGTATGTGCGGATGGGAGTTGGAGGGCTTTTCAAGTAGAAAGAGTAGCACATACAAAGGGAGAGGTTTATCTCAGCTTGATTGCCTTGGGAGCTGTACAGGGGAGTAGAGCGCAGCTCTGGGCGGGTCACAGAGGCACGACCCTGGGTGTTCTGTCAGTCCTTGGCCCCTTCCTCTCTGCTGCTATTCCCCTGTTTTGCTTCTAGGGTATGATGAACTAAGCATCTTTGCTCTGTCACTCCCTTCCACCATGTTTTTACTTTGGAGCTAACCAACCATGGACTAAATTCCCTGAAACCATGAGCCAAATTAGACCTCTCCTCCTTTAAATTGTGGGTGTTGGGCACTGTGTTCCAGCCATGGGAAAGCTGACTAATACAAACCTAGTAAGAGAGTGAGGGATGGATTCCAGCTCATTCAGAGCTATCTGGGAGGAGATGCAGGCCACAGGCAAGCCCAGAATAAGGAGGTCCTATTTTGGTATGGCAATGGGTGGAGACATTTTCTTACGGTTTCCCCAAAGGCACAAATTAGGGGTGGTTCTCTGTTCTGGAATTTTCAGATGGAGCAGAGGTGCCTTAGGAAGGGGTTTTAGGCAATGCACAAAAATCCAGTGCAAAAATCCTGCCCTGCCACTAGCTGGACATTGACTACTGACCAAGGAGCCACTGCACACCAGGCCTTTGGAGCAGAGACTTTGAGATGAGTAGGACAATACAGTTTCTGTCCTGAAAGAGCTACAAGTCCAGCAGAGAAGTGTCAGACATTAAATAAGGACAGTGCAATGAAACCAGGGTGTTGAGATGATCTCTGCAAAGGTTGGGAAAATCACGGAAAAGGTTGGGAACCAGGGGTCTCAGTATTTCACAACAGAGATGGTATTTTTTGGACCCAAAACATGAAAGATGTGTAGTTCACCACTCCCAGAAGGGAAGAGTATGTGTAAAGCCTATGAGGCATGAACACATGACCCGTGTCTGGGGGTGACAGGTAATTTACTGTCCTAAAAGCATAGAGTGGGGTCACAGTTTGTCCAGTTAGATAAACAACATATTTTATTATTTTTATTATTATATTTATTAATTTTTTTTTTTTTT